ATGATGAAATCATCAATATCATCAAGAAAAAACAATAACTATCTTTTGAGACGCTTTTAGTATGAGTTATATATGAAAATAGAAAAAAAAATCTTTGCTTGAATATTGTAAAGTGAAATTGAAAAAATATTTCTTTAATGACAAAGATGAAAAAAAAGTGTGAAATAAAATCATCATAAAGAATAAGTTAATCGGATTAACAATCAAAAATTTTATTAAGCTAAAAAATCTAAAAATCTTAATTTTGGTATTGATTAGTGAACTGTAGTTGTGTAGTTTTTTTGTTTTTTCAAAAATAGAGTAGTTAGGACGGAAAATCCATGCAGGTTTTAACTTTTAAGGCAGTAGTAATTAGATTAGAAGAGAATAAGCCTTTAGACTATAGATGCTAAGTAGGAATAGGAAGCACTAAGGATCGTCAGTAGAAGCGATCAGCCTTCGGAGGTTGATGAGGTCCTAATTCGAAGTAACGGATCAGGAAGACTTAAGTAGTGGTAGGAGGTACGAAGACCTAGCTTTTCCAAATATCTAGTAAGGTATTCAGACAGGGGTATTTGGTATTCGGAGAATATGACCTTGAAGGTTCCCCTGGGAACCCAAGCGGCGAAGGATCCCAAGGGAAGTAAAAGATAGCGCCGCACGGGAAAGAAGTTTGAATGACGACATCTTCAATTCGCACAAGTTGGGCAACCCGTTGCGACGGCGGGGTACACCCGAGGGATTCGAGTTGGTTCTCACATTCCACGAACACATTATTGCAATTGACGAGAGATTGGGGTGCGGAAGCTCAAACGAGAGGAAGCAGCTATGTGTAACCATCTTTAGTTAGTTAAAACTAAAGAAGAGGTTACTTTAAATATTGATATAGATACTTTAGTCTGCACTAGTCATAGCTGCCACGTCAGCGATCCGCACACTTGGTAGGTACAGCGATACTTTGCCACGTCAGCAATCCGTGTGCTTGTAGGTAAGGATTGAGTGTATTAGTTAAGAGCGCCACGTCAGCGATCCGTGTGCTTGTTAGGGTTATCTGCCACATCATCCATTCACTAGGAGTGGGATGGATGGTGGAGATCAGATCTTATCTCCTTGTACTTGTTGGTGAGAGCTATATAAGGGAGAGGAGAATCATTGTTGGTATCTCTCATCTTCAGAGTTTACGTTTTTATCTTCGAGTGAGCTTCTCTCTATACCCTAGTGTTACAATGGTATCAGAGTAACCTTGCTCTTTCCTTGAGTGTGGATTACCCTCATGGAATAGCAAGTGAGTGATGATGGAGTGCAGTTTTGAGAGTGTATAGAGGCTCGTAGAGGTCATTCATCTACATGTAGAGAGAGGTGGAAGGAGGAAATTGTGATTTTGTAGATATGGACGGGATTGACAAAAATCCAGTACCACACTGGCCAATTCCTAACCTATTCGATATTCACTTTCGTTGCATGGAGAAACATCATTTTTTGGTGTACCTTCGGGCTTGTTGGGGTGCAGATTTTATGATTAGAGTGATGGAGTCGAGAGTGCCACTAATTTTTCCAATAGTTACTTATGAAGAGACTTGGTATTGTACTATATACATTCTATACTTAATGTTTCATAGATTTGAATCGCAAACCACTTGTACCGGTTCGGTTCATCACTTATGTAGAGATTAGAATAGTATATCGACAAAAGAGGATATGGAAAGATTTTCTTGTGAGGAATTATGGAGAGAAGTACTATAGAGTTGTGATAGAATCACCTGCACCTTTTGTGACTCCTTTGTTGGGAGGTCACATAGTGATTATACTCACTTTGTATTAGAGGAAGTGTGATAAAGCATGGGAATATCAATCGATATGGCTGAGGTTCTCAATGCAATCATGGCAGAGATGAAGGAGTTGAGAAAAGCGATAGTAGATGGGCATACCAAGCAGCAAGCCATGGAAGATAAAATCTTCGCATTGGAGAGTGAGAAAGTAGAGAGAGAGAGTTGGAGAGATGGAAGTTGAACCTCAAGTTCAAGCTTCCCAAGTTCAGCCAGAACCAACTCCTATTGATGCAGCAGAGGCAAATAGGAGACGTCTTCAAGAGATTGAAGATCAAGCAAATCTTTTGCTTCGAACGGGAAAATCCTGTAAGGTGGAAGCTTACAAAGAGAGTAGAGCAATGAGAGTTTTAGAGGGATAGATTATGAAGATGAATATTCATTTATCCCATTTTCATGTTTCTGATTATATTGCAGGAATGTTCATGAGATCTTATCTTACGGAGAAGGCTCTCACATGGTACACAACATGGGAGAGAATGCTTTCAGAGTGAGATGCTACCATTTCGTGGAGTGGAATGCAAGAAGTACTTCTGCGAAATTTTCAAGCGATGGATTGCCTTCAAACTGCAAGAATGAAGTTGTGGGATCTGAAGCAGAAAGGAGATATTCATGAGTACATGGAAGAAGTTTGTGATCTTCAAGTATCTATCATGGATATGAGTGGAGCTGAAGCCTTGGACGTGTTCAAACGAGGCTTGAAGTATCAAATTCGAAAGGAGGTGATGGTTAGCAATCCATCTACTGTGAATGAAGCAATCGCAATTACTCAACAAATTTTGGGTGCTTTTGGTGTCACACACGGTGAACCAGTAAGCAATTTTTTAGATCCATCTGGTCCAACACCGATGAAGTTGGGAAACCTTCGACGTAGAGAAGGTTTTGCACCAACAAGAGTACCACCACCAAGATTTGGAGGTGAGATTCAGTGACCAGTAGTTCCAAATTTGCAAGAAGGTATGCAAATAACGGAATGGTTCGAAGAGGAGCTGGAGTTCGTGACAATCATCAATGCTATGCATGTGGACGAATGGGTCACATTGCCAAGTTTTGTCAAATTTGGCCGACACCACAAGGAGGACGGCCATGCAGCGACAACCGTTCAACAACATGGAGGGTATAGAGTATGAAAAGGTGGAGGAAGAAGTTTCGGGAAACAAAGATCACCAGAAAACTTGCCTCGCGGCCTTATTGGTTCTACAAAGCAAAAAAAGGCGAGGTTGGAAGAAGGCAATGGTTGGGAGCTCATCAAAGGAGTAAGAATCAAGCTCAACTCATTGTCACTGATGGTTTCATGGAAGGACATAAGGTGAGAGTTTTAATTGATCCTAGAGCAACTGAAAATTTTCTTTCAATGAGTGTTGCTATGAAATTAGGTTTGATGTTGATGAAGGACGTGAGTGAAGAAGTTGAATTGCAAAACGGGCAAACTGAAGTGATAGATACACTACCACAGAGTATAGAATTATCCATAGGTAAGATTGAGAGTCACCAAGAGAGCATTGAATGGAGAGTAATTCGTTTAGCTCGATATGATGTCATCCTTGGAATGCCATGGATGGAGCAATATAATTCGAAGGTAGATTGGAGAAGAAAAGTGATTACAAGTAGTGGATGAAAGATCTATGGAGATAGAATTAGATCTCAGAATAGGAATTTATCCCTCTTTGTGATGGATAGAACATTCATTTCTAGAGATGATGTATGTTTTTTGGACTTATGAGAGATATTGGATCCACGGACAAACCTTACATCCCGGAGTCCTTGAACGACATTTTTATGGGGTATAAAGATGTTTTTCCAAATGATCTACCTGCAGGATTACCACCAAAGAGGCGAGTAGATCACAAGATTGAAGTGATACCTAGAAGTACACCAACTTGCAAAGCTCCATATCGTTTGGCTCCAAACGAATTGGAAGAATGCAAAGCTCAAGTGGAGGAGATGTTGTGCAAGGGATTCATTCAACCAAGTGTTTCACCTTATGGAGCTCCAGTGCTCTTTGTGAAGAAGATTGATGGATCCATGAGACTATGCATCGATTATCGAGGGTTGAATTAGCAAACGGTGAAAAATAAATATCCATTATCTTATATAGATGATTTGTTTGATCAACTTCAAGGTGCGAAATACTTCACAAGCTAAATTTGAGAAGCGGCTACAATCAAATTCAAATTGCAGATGAAGATGTCCACAAGGGAGCTTTTTGTACTAGGTATGGTCACTTTGAGTATCTAGTGATGACTTTTGGTCTCACTAATGCACCATCTACATTCATGGGATTGATGAACGATATCTTTTGCCCTTATCTAGATAAATCAGTCTTTGTTTTTCTAGATGATATATTGGTGTATAGCAAAAATTTGAATGATCATAGAAGTCATTTACGAGAAATACTTCAAGTTTTGAGAGACAATCAATTGTATGCCAAAGCTTCAAAGTGTGAATTTGGCAAGTCAAAAGTAAATTACTTTGGGTCATTGAGTTACAACTGCAGGAATCCAAGTGATGAGTGAGAAGATAGATGCTATTTAGAAATGGACAGCACCTGAAGATCAAACTCAGTTGAAGAGTTTTCTAGGGCTCACTAGATTCTATCGTAGATTTGTGAAGGGTTTTGTTCGCCTAGCTCAGGCCTTGACTTCCATGTTATGGAAAGGTCAAAAATGGAGATGGGGAACAGCTCAAGAGTTAGATTTTCAAGCATTGAAAGATGTTTCATTACACGCACCTATACTCAAGTGGTATGATCCTAACCGCCCTATCAAGTTGGCTACTGACGCATCAGGTACAAGAGTAGGCGGCATACTTCAACAAGAATGGGAGGATAGATGGCATCTAGTTGCTTTCTATTCTCAAAAGTTGGTGGCGGCGGAACAAAATTATCACACGATTGAACGGGAGGAGTTAGCCATTGTGTTGGCAATCAAACATTGGAAGCATACTTGGGTGATAAGGAGTTTGTGGTGGAGACCGATCATAAACCCTTGGTTTATTTGGAAACTCAAAGAGATCTGTCCAAACAACAAATTCGATGGGCAGAGTGGAGTCAATGCTTCAACATGAAAATTTGGTACGTGGAGGGGAAGAAGCAACTTACAAATGCTCTCACACGCATGCCTTGTTCGAATCATGTTGCAGAAGTGAAAATTCACGCTGATTGGTGGAGCAAGATGACACAAGCCACAAAGGAGGATGAAGAGATCACTCGGGCACTACAAACTGGAAAGGCGGAGAAATCTCGAGGTTTGACGTTCTTCAAACAGCGTATATAGATTCCACAAGATCAAGATTTGCGCATAATGATTTTGGCCGAAAGTCATGACACAGCCATTGTAGGTCATGTGGGAGTGGAGAAAACCGTGGAGAGTATACAACGAGTGTACTATTGGCTTCAAATACATGAGGATGTGGAGTCTTATGTTTGAAGTTGTGTTGCTTGTCAACAAAACAAGGCAAGTAATCAAAAACCTGTGGGTTTATTACAGCCTCTATCTATTATCGAACAGCGATGGGAACATGTTGTGAGTTCAAATATGAGCTCGACTATTTAGTTAGCACTAGTTAGTATGATATATTGTAGCACTTAAAAAAACAAAATAAAAATAATAGAATAGTAGGATATTAGTAGTAGTAACCAAGTTAATTAGACGTATAGTATTTCTTGAGTCTATCAAGAATCAAAAACATTCACATCAGGCGAGAGTGGGCCTAGTACTAGTAGGCTCGGGTGATGAAAGGGAGGCAAAATGAAGCAGTCGCGGAGGGAGCAACGAGCGAGCGACGCAGCGAAGCGTAGGTAGTGAGTCAAGGGCAAAGACGAGTAGACCATCCGAGAGAGGTGCGGAAGGTTGGTTGCAATTGCTTGTTTCTTTGCTCGGAGTCCTTTGCCGCTTCGAGCTAGTGTCAAAGGAATGAAGTGGAGTCTCGACCAAGCGTGTTCTTGAGTTTGTGCTAGGTCAATAGGGCGGCAAGAAGTGGGAGCATCGAGTTGTGGAGAAGGCGGCATGAAGAAAGATCGTCAGTATAGAAGAGAAGCGAGCAAAGTCATGGCTGATAAGGAGGTAGGGCTCCGGGGAGGCAGGCGAGGCCTCGAAGGTTCGCGCGCTCTTTCAAGTGGATTCACTGCAAGCGAGAATGCAATGCTTTAGAACGGAGTCGCAACATCTTTAGTTAATCCGCAGTGCGGCCTCGCAGGTTCTTTCCTCGCCCGGATTTACAGGTGGATGATATTATGGTTTCTTGTGCACGCTAGCTACTCTCTTGGGCTGGCTTTGAGTAGTGCTGCTGCTGCTTCTTGAAGTCGAGGTTTCTTGCAGGAGTCTCGACTCTCCGTATCGGCAGCGGAATTCTCAGGTGTAGGATATTTATTTCGCCTGGAAGTTTTAAGGTTTTGTAGCGTAGCGGAGTAGGTCGATAGATTGGTTGGTCCGTTGGCATCAGGGGGATTGGTTGACAGAAGTCGCGTGATCCGCAAACTGTCGGTCGAGGTGCAAAGCATGGAGGAAAGATACGCGTACGTAGCGTGAGACGGTGTGTAGATGAGAGATGGCGCCCAGTGCTTTAGACCCGCTTATGAGAATGCTTTCACTTTCCGAGGGGTCCGTAGGCTCTCCATTTCCAGATTTGGAGCTCGATCTGTCGGAGGATGATATCGGAGAAACCGCGTATGAGATCTTCGTGGTAGCATGCAGACACAATGCACACAGTGCCCAAACTCAGGCTCCCAAGTCAAAGGCGGGATTGCCCTCGGTCTCCTCTCTGACCGCTAAGGGCTTCAGAAAAGTCGATGTGGCGATGAAATCCAAGAGAGATCGACCGGTGCATCCCGCGAGCAAGGGAAAGAAACCCCATACAGCGGCCGAGATAGTACAGTATCAAATGCAGTACTATCAGCGAAGAGATTGAAAGTAGAATTAGAAATGGCTTGCTGCGCGTTTTCACTCATCAGTTTGGTAAGCCCGTCGAGTGCCTGATAGTACCGCTGGAACTTTTGCAGATTATCGGGCCCTCAGATTTTGTGAATACCGCACACTACAGCCGATGGAGACTGATGCAGTTGCGAGTGTTAGAAGGTGGTTTGCTGATCTATCCTTCAATTAGAAAGGAAAGTAGTGATAAAATTGTGGACCAGAGACTGCAAAAAATGCTACATGATCCGAAACATAGTTCCGTTGACACTAGCAAAAGTAGTGAAGAAATGAGCCCCTTAAGAATGGCTGCATTGGCTAAAGCAGGACGATCAGTCAGTGGGAAACACCCTAGTCCTCACCTACACTGGGCAGATGGTTACCCCTTGAATGTTAGTCTTTACCTGGCGCTCTTGTCATCCGTCTTCGACACTTTGAAAGAAGGACAGGTAATTGAGTAGAAAGACGATGTAATGGAAGCATTCAAGAAATCTGGGTATTTTGGGTATCAACCAGATGCTACACGATCTCTGCTTCATGTGGATGCTTTTCAGTCAGTTTGTTGCAACTGAACAACTCGCGGTCGGTCTGCTACAGGGTGCGGAACATCTGATGAAGGAAGTGGCTTTACTAGCCAAAATTGATGTAGTTGTTCAAGGCAAATAGGCTCTCAAGACAGCCCTCACGAGCATTCACTCGTGGGAAGAAAGAAGATTATTAGCTTACCGTGAGACATTCCCAAAAAGAGATGGCGGAGTCATGGAAGCTTTGTTGTCGATTGGACTCTTAGCAAGTAGAATTCTAGCAGATGATGCCAACCAAGTATCGCAGTGCAAACAAAAGGAATTGTCGAATTATGAAAGTGAGAAGGTTGAGCTGTACAGAAGGTCATCTCTTAAAGCTGCCTTCGCTCAGATTATGGAAACAACAGACACAAGAAGGAGGTCCTTCAAGAATGGTGGTGTCTCTTGCCCACCGTTGATGGTTCTAGCAGCAGATATCGGACAGCTTGCCGAGGAAGAAAGGCTGAGATTCAGCCCCGTCCTAAAACAGTGGAATGCATACGCTGGAGGTATAGCAGCTGCAACACTTCATGCGTGCTTCGCTAGAGAGATAATGCAATTATTGAGTGATCGTCAAACCATCGGTCCAGAAGTACTTCAAGTTCTGCAAGGAGCTGATACTCTCGAAAGGGAGTCTTCAGATTGCAGTCGAAGACGCTGTAGATGCAGAGGATGGTGGAAAGGGGCTGATGCGCGAAATGCAACCCTATGAGTGCGAGACTACTATTGAAAGGCTTTCAAAGGATTGGCTTCAAAATGGCCTGGCACACCTTTTAGAGTGGGTTGTCAGGAACATCCAACACGAGGTAGTGGAGTGGAGCTCCAACGCAGCGGGCAAGGGAGTTGTTGAGGGTCAGGCTTTGAAGGTTGCGGAAATGCAAGGTATGGATGTTGAAGTGCACATCATGGTTCCAAGGAGGATAGCTGCATCTGTGTTGCTAGCGTGTGGCGTCCGCAAGTGGATAAGGTGGACGAGTGGATGAGGTTGGATGAGTGGATATGATAAGGTGACAGGTGTTGCATTGTTTGTAACTCTCTAGATTTCCGGGATACCTCGGCGGGCAACTCCATTTGCTTGTAAGGCACTCTCGTGGTAATTTTTGCCGGCAGTCTACATTCAGAGGGGAGGAACTGAGTTGTACTCTCGATAGTTGGTGTGTGTGGATTCAGAGTGTTGGAGAGGAGCTGTGCTCTTCATAGTGAGTAGTGTTTGGTTTCAGAGGGACACTTGACGGTTGAAGTCTCGACAGTGGTGCTTCTTTGGGTTTGGTAAAGAAATGGAGAGGAGTGGTGGCTAGGGTAGCTAGATATGTAGGCTTGGATCCCCACCTGGACTACAACGCTAAGGGTGGGAGTTAAGAGCTCACACATGTCACCATGGATCTTGTATGTGAGTTACCCAAGACTTCGTTAGGACATGATTCAGTGGTGGTTTTTGTGGACAAGTTGAGCAAGATGATTCACATTAGGCCCACCACAAAAACAGAAACAGCTCCTCAACTAGCTCAATGGTATCTAGATGCAGTTTTTGCGAATCATGGTTTAAGCAAAGTGTTAATCACGGATAGAGGTACTCACTTCACTAGCTTATTTTGAAAAACTTTGCTTTGTTTTTTCAAAACAAAACTAGCAATGTCAACGGCCTATCATCCTCAAACTGATGGACAAACGGAGAGAGCAAATAAAATCATAGAAGATATGTTACGAGCATTCACATTAGAAGAGCAAGAAGAATGGAACAACCTTTTGCCACTTGTGAAATTTACATATAACAATTCTGTTAATGCATCTACAAAAGTGTCTCCATTTTTTCTTATGTATGGAGCTCATCCTATAACTCCTTCAAGTTTGATGAGACTTCCGAAAGGAGAGGAGTTTTTGACCAAAGTTGCAACAGTCAACGAATTTGTGGAGCATATTCACCGAGGACTACATAAGGCCAAGGAGAAGTTGGTGATAGCCCAAAATCGGCAAAAATAGCATGCCGATGCTCATCGTAGAGAAGTGGTTTTTGAGATCGGAGATCATGTTTGGTTATCTACAACAAATTTGTCTCTTGTAGGTACACCAAAGTTGAACCCTAGGTTCATTGGTCCATTTTTTGTTTTGAAGCGTGTTAATGAAGTGTCATACAAGTTGGAACTTCCGTCACATATGAAAATACATCCGATATTTCATGTGTCACAATGGCGAAAACATGTACCACAACCTAAACACTTCACCAACCAACCAGCAACGCCTCCTCTTCCAACCTTGATAGCAGATCATGAGGAGTTTGAGGTAGAAAAGATACTCAATAAACGTATTTGAGGTCATAAGTATCCCAAAGTAGAGTATTTGATTCAATGGAAAGGCTATACATCATATGAATCAACTTGGGAACCAGCTACAAATTTAGCAAATGCACCTTTGATAGTTCAGGAGTTTGAACGTATGTGCAACGAGGACGTTGCATCTTAAAAGTATGGAAATTTGTAACCATCTTTAGTTAGTAAGAACTAAAGTAGAGGTTACTCTAAATGTTGATATAGATACTTTAGAGTACACTAGTCGTAGCTGCCACGTCAGCGATCCACGCGCTTGATAGGTAGAGAGTAGGTGTGCTAGTTGACAACGCCACGACAGCGATCCGTGTGCTTGTTAGGTAAAGATTGAGTGTGTTAGTTGGGAGCGCCACATCAGCGATCCGTGTGCTTGTTAGGGTTATCCGCCACGTCATCCATCCACTAGGAGTGAGATGGATGGTGGGGATAAGATCTTATCTCCTTGTACTTGTTGATGAGAGCTATATAAGGGAGAGGAGAACCATTGTTGGTATCTCTCATCTTCAGAGTTTACGTTTCTATCTTCGAGTGAGCTTCTCTCTAAACCCTAATGTTACAAAGAGTGGGATAATGATGGTTTACCGAAGCCACCAGACTATCGAGGAAATCCCGAGACTTGGCAATTTTGGGATTGGAAAAAAGTATTGGGACGTTGCGCAGGTGACGATGGCGACCTTACCTTCGATAGTGAGAGTGTCAAGGTAACACGAGAGGAGGAAAAGTACTACGCAACTTTTTTTAAGCACCAAGGCACCGGCAAGAATGAATATCGTTTAGTATGGATACCATTTGGTATCACGATTGATTTAGACAATGGTGTTATGTGGCGATGGCGTTAATGCAAATCCTTCGACATATTCGAACCACTTATATGATGATTTGGCAGGTTGGGTTTGTGAAACGAGCATTGCGAGGAGATCCTATTCACTAGGTGCGCATCTTCTACACTGCTACTCGGCAACACATTGAGCTAGTTCTAGGAGGATCAGCCAATAACTTGTCCCCGTTCTTGATTAATTTATATATGGAGTTGTTAATGCTAAAGAGAGGAGGGAATTCCCGATCCGAACTCATGCGCAGGAAGGAAAAGAGGTTGTGAGTGCCAAGGAGGTCATTACGGATCCAGAGGACGAGCAAATTAGTTCGCCTCCGCAAAGAATAGAACGACCCATGGGTAGACATGAATCACAACCACGGAAGAGAAGGAGGATTCATGAGGTCGCTATGTCTAAAGAACGTGTATGCCGGGCAGTTCCCATCAAGTTGAGATCACCCAATTCTCGAGACGGGTCGAAGATGAAAGCAAGGCGATTGATAATGGAAGCGGACAGCAGCACGGAGAGTAGGGCTTGCTGCGTCGCAAGGGCATTTCACTCCATAGGCGGGAGTAGAGTTGAATATGGTGAGAGAGAAGGAAGCACTAGTGGAGAAGGAGCTTCAGAATTCTGCGGTGAGCCCTACGCTAGTAATGTCAAGCCGGGCTATGAGGAAAGAGAAAGGTTAAGCTATCATGACGGAGGAAGTACCTCCGGGACGAGATAAGGTTTCTTCAACGGGTATTAGGATGAAGGCCCCTTTGGAACGGCCAGCTGAAGTGTTGGCAGTATCATCAGACACTCAGGATGATCATGTAGCCTTGAAGAAAGTTGCTGAGAGGGTCGTAGAAGACGTAGTAGGCGAAGCGTTTGCACCATAGAAGATGGTGTCACCACGGACGTCCATCGGGACAGTCATATTGGAGACGAGCGAAGATCCTTCGGCGGAGAAGACACAATCCCAAGTACTCAAGGCCGCTAACGTTTTGTGTGGGCAAGTGCTTCCGTTACTCCAGTATCTCAACCGCAAGCGTGGGAAGTATGCACGAACTACCACCAACGGATCTTACGTGGAGCTAATGCGTAATAGGACGCGGGCAAAGGTGGCAGCAACTTCCGCAGTTGCAACGAAGGAACGGCAGACCTATGAGACAGAGGCGAAGTACGAGGTACTTCAGAAAAGATTGGTCGAGTGTGATGGTACAGTTTTTGTTTTTTTTCGGAAATAAAGCGTTTTTGGAATAGTAAGTACCGTGGAAGTAACTGTAGATAAGAAGGGGTACACAAGAAGAAGGAAATAAGAGACAATAGTGGGAAGAGAGGAAGGGTCTCCTTCAAAGGCATTCAAGGTGCATTGGGCTGGGGCGGTTCAAGCTTTAGGGCTTTGAGCAAAAGACCTTCGTCGCTAACGCCTTCGACGGAAGTGCCTTCGTCGTTAGCGCCTTCAGCGGAAAGGGAAATGGCTGAAGGAGATGCCTTCGCCACTAGCGCCGTCGACAGTATCGCATTCGCCACTAGCGCTTTCGTCGCTAGAGCCTTCGCCGGTACGCGGAAGAAGGTCTACTCCGGCGGAAATCGGCGTGATTATGTCAAATGTACAAGTGTGGGAATCCACGTGACAGCGGAGCGTGAAGTCGCACGTGGGAAGTAGGCCGTTACACCTCATCGCCGGAACAGCATTCAAGCGGCCCGTTGCCAAATCCAAATGTCGAACTTGACAATTCTTGATGGACAGAGAAGGAGCTCACTCGCGCATTATCGATTTTGCGTCTACCCGAACTATCGACGCGTAGTGACAGCAGGAGCAAGCAGCAATTGGGAGGAACTCGATGGCCAAGTCCGCGTCATTGAGGATGGTACCACTGCGGGTGTCGCAAATCGGATTGCGGGCATTCCAAGACGAATTGACAACGGTGAAGCTCGATTTCCTCTTGTGGAGATGGAATTGGGTGTGTACGACGATGGTCCAGGAATGGCTGCGCAAGAAAGACCGGAATTCGAGAGGGTATCGACCTCTCGAATTCTCGAACCCGGAGAGATGGCAAGTTAGCGATTGGAAGCAGGTCTTGGAGAGATGTGCGGGGTCCGAGGGTGACCTCTTGTTTGACAGCGAGAGTGTTCAGCTCTCGAAGAAGGAGGAGTCGACCTTCGACGACCTTTTCAAGAATCGCCGCTCGCGCAAGAACGGATATAAGACCCGTGACTACGTTGATCGGAAATGGAGGAATGTCGCGGTGGCGATCCTCCAAATTTTGCAATCACACATGACTTTCTACATGACATCTTGGCAGGTGGAATTTGTGGAGCTAGCGCTGGCGGGTACACCAATTCACTGGGCTCGCATTTTGTGGAAGGCCATGCGTCAGCATGCTGGAGAGGAGAAGGGGAGATCGATTAATCACCTCTCCCCGTTCTTGATAAATTTCTATCTGTCGATGGGATGTCTGACGGCGGAGGAGAAGAAACAATTTCCCTTGCTGTCGCGGATGAATTCGGGGAAGTTTGTGAAGGATGTAGAGGTTGATACGGACTCCGACAAAGTGCCCGCAATCACACCGCCGGGCCGACTGAGAGTAAGGAAGAGCATCGGGGTGCGCGGGCACCAGGAAGCAGAAATTGGGAGAAGAGGAAGAAGAGAAGCGGCGAGAATCGCTCGCCGTCCCATCGAGGCGTCGGGCAACCAACAAGCAAGCCCGGCCAAAGCAGAAGGGCCGCAAGCTGATTTTGACCGCGGGCAGCAGCGCTGATACGAGACGAGCTGCAATTTTGAAAGGATCGCATTCCTCAAAAGAGGAAGATTTGAGTACATGAGTTCTTAGAAGGTCGACTGACCTCCCTGCGCCG